TATATATATATATATATATATATATATATATATGTGTGTGTGTGTGTGTGTGTGTGTGTGTATACACATATGTATGTATGCACACTGTACAAGTCATGGGAAGCAAGCCAGTTAGCTCCTCTGTGGTCTCTGCCTCAGTTCCTGCTTCCAGGTTCCTGCCCTCCATTCTTGCTCTGGCTTCCCTTGATGATTGACTATAACCTATAAAGTCAAATAAACCCATTCTTCTTTTTCAGTTACTTTTGGTCTCTGTTTTATCACAGCCACAGAAAAAAACATACTAGAAACAGGCCCCAGTTCCAGAGTTTGCACTTATTAGCTGATTGAACTTGGGTGAATTATTTAAGCACTCCGGCCCATCATTCCCTCGAGCTCCCCCCGCCCCCCACTGCAGGAGTAATAGCAATAGTAACTGGCTCTATAAGACCTATTGTAAGCCTTCAAGCTGAGCGTCGGGAACATGCTAGCATTTAGTCTGGGCCAGCCCAGCTCTGAGGATAATGATGATATTGTCATATTATCATTGTCATTATACTTGCCCTTGAGAACTCACACAGACAGGAACAGGCAGCTTCTGGATCCAGGCTCTTAAGACCCCGATCAGGGTGGAGTGTAAGGAGGCACAGACATTTCTGTGTTATAAGAAAAGGGGAATTTCTCAAGTGAGAGAATGGCAGGATCACCCCCCTTCTCTCTCCCTCTCTTCGGCTCCCTCTGCTCTTAGTTTCTCATTCCCTCATTTCTCCTCTCCTTTAAAACGATGACAGTATGTTCACGTTGTGCAAATCAAAGGCACAGATTAGAAACTGGAGGATGAATGTGCTTAGCAGACCCCAGAAGTCTCCAGGGGACTGGAATTGATTACCCTGAGTGTACCATACAAAGTGATTAGTTTTTTTCTGCATGTGGCGAACAATAGGAATGAAGTTGAGGGTTGGAAGTACCTCTCTACGCCAAGCTACTTAACCCCATGGGCTTCCTCGTGATGGAATGGAATCATGGAGCGCACAGGCAGAAGCTCTCTTAGAAGCCTCTTTCTGGAAGAGTCTATGGTAGAGGAAAAGCAGAATGTTTTTCAGCAATTTGGAAAGGGTACCCCATTTTTCTTGGGAGATGCTGGGATTTGGGGAACTTACACAAATGAGAGAGTTGTATATTTTATAGGTCACCAAGACCTATAAAATAAATACTGATTCCTCTACCTAGATTGAAAAAAAACAACCCTTAAGTGGACTCTGTGTGGACTCACTCAGCCCCTGTTGTCATCTGGTCTAGTTTCCACCCTCTGGAAGTTAGCAGGATTTAGCAGGACTAGAGATGACTTCCCTTGTTAGGGAACCCTGGCTCAGGATTGGGCAGAGGCTGGAGGATGCCTCCCCGGCTAGAGCTTGTTGTAATGATTGGTTTTAGATTGGCTGTGGGAACCTTGCTTTAGCGAGCTGAAGTCACTGTGGGGGATGAAGTCACCCTTCCTAGATAAGCTGCTTATCCACCCATCTCAAGAGGCAAGATTCTGATTTCCACCTGCCGTTCACCTCTTTTCATCACAAAGGTCGAGATTCATTTGAATAAAGAGTGAAAATAAACCCAGCTCCCAGCTTATCTGATTCCTTGGCCCACATTAGGAAAGCAGCACCCCTCCAGGACATCCGGAGTTCACCGCCTCAGAGCAGGAAAGGCCTGTATATTACCTTTGTAATCATCTCTTGATCATGGATAATTTACAGAGTGCTCAGCTTGGGCATCCAGATGATGACAGGCCTCCATGGAGGGAACAAAAAAAAAAAAAAAGCCCTAATAATACTCTGAGTCAGACAGGCCTAAGTAGCTGATTCTTGGGTCCTTTGAATCCTGACATGAATTTCCTATTTGTCTATGGAAATAGTTCTTAAAGTGGAGCATGTCTCAGTGTGTGTGTGTGTGTGTGTGTGTGTGTGTGTGTGTGTGTATGCATGTACATGCCTGAAACAGACTAACTCCAAGTCGTAGAGTTTAGATTTGGTGGAACAAAAGTTGAGTCTAACATGTGGATTCCTAAGTTCAAAGTGATACCGATGCTCTTGGCCTAGGCATGCATTTTGAGCACCTCTTCCTTGGTTGCTAAGTGCTCAAGCTGGGCTGTCCTGCACCCAAGCACTGGTTACTTGGTTTGCTTATGGAAAACCAAAGATGTAGTGCTACAGGTTGGTCCCCAGATCTATGGCATCGCTAGAACACCCTGAAAGAGGTTCTTTCTATTTTTCGAAAGAACAGTTCTTTACATTCTGGGAGCCTGGTAATGGATTTGGGAAGAGTATGACACCTCAATTGGTTGAGTGGCATAGAATCTGGACTCCTTCTCTACACCCCGAAGGCTCATTGTGCATTCTTTCTCTGAGCATTGCATTTTGGACTGAAGCATCACCTGCTTGATTTCAGTCTAGACATCGTTTTTTTTAACAGTGTGCAGAAAATATGCTCTGCTATTTTTTGTTAGAGTGTAAAAAAAAAATCACAAAATTCAGTGTGTTAGGAATTCTGTAGAATCAGATAGTACACAGAGAACCTAAAATAAGCAATCAGCATATTCCTACACACACACACACACACAGACACACACACACACAGACACACACACACACACACACACACACAGAGGCAAAACCACACATAGTACACATGTACTCTGTGTTATGTTAACTTTTTCTGAGCCACTGTCACCCCAGATAGGGCAATGATGACAGACTAAAGAGACAATACCGTTCCAGTCCAGTCTAGTGAACGAAGAGTTTACCGGGCGTACAGAGGCATGGTGCAGAATTGTTTACAGGAGTGTGATGATGCCACCCATCCATCTGTACTACTAAAAAGCCACTGCAGAATGGGTGACAGCTTCCCTACAGCTGCAGAGACCCACCATCTCTCCTTCATTTAATCTCCTGTATACCTCTAGCACCTCCCAAGACTACATGCAGTGAGGGCCGAATCATGTGCTATTGAAGGGACATAGGAGGGAGAGAGTGGCTGTTGGATGGTCCCCATTTCCTTTCCATGAAGAAATGTCAACAGACTCAACCTTATGAGGGTCTTCCGTGGTTAAACACAGTTTTTGTGACTTCTGGAAGGCAGAAAAATGTATGTATGTATGTATGTATGTATGTATGTATATATATATAT